TAAGGAAAAGTTAAAAGTATCATTTTTTCTTAACTATAAAATTTTCAAAAAAAAATATTTTTGAGGAAAAGTTGAAAGTATCAATTTTCCTTGAAAATAAAATTTTCAAAAATATAAAAAAATACTTTTAAGGAAAAGTTAAAAGTATTAACTTTCCTTGAAAATAAAATTTTCAAAAAAAATATTTTTGAGGAAAAAGTTGAAAATATCAATTTTTCTTTGAAAATAAAATTATTAAAAAACATTTTAAGGAAAAGTTGAAAGTATTAATTTTTTCTTGAAAAATAAAACTTTAAAATACTTTAAGAAAAAGTTGAAAGTATTAATTTTCCTTGTATAAAAGCATAAATTTTTATTTTTTATAAAACAATATAATAAAAATGTTTCTATCAAAAGTTAAAGTATCATTCCTTTTCTTCCTTTCTCGAATTTTTTTAATATTAAATAATCCAATGACAGAGCTTCTATAAAAGAAACAATAATTTTCTTGTATACTCTTGAAGTGAGAGAATTTTTTTAATTTTTTGCCAAAAATATTGGAGTCAATTAAGAATAATTTTCAATAATTAATTACTTGATAAAATCTTTAAGGCTTAATGGATAACATGAAATCAAGTTGGTACCATCTTCCGATGGGTATTGTGAGGGTGTTATAACCTTCTTCACATGTGATCGTACTCTCGGACCTAATTTTGATTTTGCAAACATTGAATTTACCTTTTAAAGGTATCTAAGTCAAACTTAGGAATCCTCCTTAAAAGGAATAAATTTAGTTATGTGGTCAATCGCATCTAAACAGAAAAAGATTGGTAGCAATTCCTCAAATCAATGTCTAACGATAGATCTACGGATCTAGACGTTACGACATTTATGATAAAATGCCTAAAATTCTTTTTTGCTATAACTAAATTTTTGTTGCCTCTTCATTTTGCACTCCATAAACCAAATAAGAGAGGCTATTTTATAAATTAAGTATATAGTTTAATATTCTATCAAAAAAATTATATAGTTTAATATTTTCAATGGGTTTAAATCTTGAGATAATTGATAACATAGTTAGCATCTAGTATTTAGTTTTCTTAATTGATGGTTCTAATTAAAGCAATACTATATAAGCATAAGAAATATACACACATAATTATTTCATAATGTTATTTTTAAAATATAAATGAAAAAATTATGTGAAAAAAAATAATTAAGTATATATATATATATATATATATGTATATGCATATTTACGTACTTTAAAACTCTGTTATAATTAAATTCCTTGTCCCTTTGGCAGCCAACATTCATGACTTACAAATTACCAGCTAATGTGGGTCACCAATCTATCAACATGATTGAGTCAACTGCTCTTATTGTTGGTTGATCCAAATTACCTTCACAATATTCATGTCTTTCCTTCTTTTTTTCTAGATCAGGGTGTTCCTCAAGAAACATGTAACTTTATCGAAGTCGTTGGAGCATTCATGAGAATTTAATTAAGACTGTCATGGAAGCGGATAAATTTAAAGGAGAAAAACAAAAAGCATGCATTGGAGAAAGTGATCAAAGGTGGATCGAGAGACAATATGTTATATATTTCGAGTTCGTAATAAGTACTTTACCATAACAGGTCTGGAATTACCATGCAATGCTGGCTGATTTTGCAATAAGAGAACTCATCCAATTAAACACAAGATTCCAAGTGGTTGTTCTTTGCAACACAAGTTTATTTTTTTTCCTTAGCCAAAATATAAGTGTTCAAAAGATGAGATGAACTATAGCATGATTGGAAAAACTTTACTAATGCCACACTCCATATTAAGTATGCATAAGGGTGTTTATAATTCGATTTTAATTAAATTAATTAATTAAATTATTTAATTTGATTAATCGGGTGGTTATTGAATTAATTCAGATGGTTAATAAAAGTTATTTTTAAAAAATTTTAATTTTTGGTTAATTTGATTCGAAGATCAAATTAATCAAAATATAATATAATCTAAATATAAAATGAAAAATACATGAAATTGATCATTTAATTTTAATAGTTGTTAAATTCTTTAACATAATACTTTGATATTTGAATATTTTGTTGAATAATTTTATTTAGTTTGTTTAAAATATAAGAAATTAAAAGTTTAAAATATAATTTAACTTAAGTATATTTATTATTCAGTTAATCGAAAAAATTAATCGAACTGATCGAATTAAATTAGGTTAGTTAATTTTCGAAATTCATAAATTCAATTCAGTTCGATTCAAAAATAAAATAATATAATTCGATTAATTTAATTTTGAATAATTTGATTTGAAATTAATCGAACCGACCGTATGAATATCATTAAATATGCATAGATAAAATCTCTCATTATATATGACAATGAGTTTGCAACATAAAATCATGAAATTCATTGAATCAAAAGAAAACATCTTGTAAAAATTAAACCAAATCTTTATAAGGAATACTTTAGCAGTAAGGTAAAAGAGATTTTCATCGCATCAAAGTTGTATTTTATTATTAAACTTTTACGGATCCACCCATAAAATGACACTATGACAGATGGAAATCCCTTCCATTACACTGCAAAAAAGGCTTAACTGATATCAGAGTTGCTGTTATGTGATGTTAGTTATGACCTGTCTTGCATTCATGATCTTACATCTTTACAGTAAAACTAACACCGTGGTCCTAATTAACCAAAACAGGCAAAAGAATGATACCTATCTTAATTTTGATAAAAAAAATTGGTTGGCTTGGAGTTGACACTTAATCCAACCATAGGCATGCAAGGTGCAAAACGTTGGAGCAAAATTGCGCAACTATCATTATAAAGGGTCCACTTAAGATATATATTTATATATAAGCCTTCATCTTCAATATTGGATATTGCACCATATGATGAATCGTTCTCACCATCCCCATGATAAGAAATTACGATTCATCGAGATCTAAAGTGGGGCAGGTTTCGAATGATGGCTACCGACCCCATGCATGATAATGAAAATCTCCGAAGAGAGGATTTTTCAATTATTACAATTGAGAGAAGAGAGAATTTGTGAGACATGAAAATTGAAAAAAATGGAGGGTTTGAGGCCATTTCGGGCACTAAAGAAAAGAGTCAAAGAAAGGCTTGATTGCTGGCCGGAAACACCCAGGCAGGAGAGGTAGGGGTTGCCAACCCAAGCCAAGCTTTTGGGTTGATTCTAGTTAAAAGTTGTCTCATCGATTTGTGGGAGTGAGTTGTCACCCTTGAAAAGCTTAATCATGAAACATAAGAAAGTTGAAAAGTTTTGATTTAGGCATTAATTATTAATTAAATATATGTGAGTATCTCTTTATTTGGCAAATGTATCTTGGCTTGAACCATCAAAAATCCCATCAAATACTCACAGGTGTCTTCCACAGGCTCCAAGCTTCAAATTCTTTTTTATGCAGTTTTAAGTTTTAAGAGTTGTTCATTATTATCATACAATTTTATGAAAATTTCTTGCAATTGTTTTCCCCTTTTTCATTGATTGGTTGATATCAGCCATAATTGAGTATAATATCAAATTTAAGGTTTAATTTAATTAATTCTTATAATTATTTTAAAAAATAATATTTAATAAATTTGAGATTTCAATCCAACATTAACAATTATTTTCGTTATAAATGATTCGAATCCGAAGTATAAATATATATAAATGACAGAATTTTTAAATGAAAAAAACAGTGAGATTAATACTTTTTTGGATTCTTTAGCATTTCTCTTTTCTTTTTCCTATAGGCTCCATTTATGATTAAAAATTTAAAAGCTGGAATCGAACAAAATACTGTGATAAGACAAAATAAAGTGTTGTTTATTGTTAAACAAGTAGAAAACAGATGTCCACTTGAAAGTTACTGATTCGAGAAAATTTATGTGCGTAATATCATTTTCAAGTAAGTAAATAGTAAAATAGGAAATTTTAAAAGTAGATAAAAAATTTTATAAAAAAATCAGAAACCGATAAAGGTGGGCTCGGGGCCTGTGTCCAACACTCTACTTGGAGATCAGGCATTTCTGGCCCAGGTAAGGTCAACCAAGTCTTAATTGTCAACCCAAGATACCCAACAGCACGCCTAGCTTCAAATGTGGGTTCAGTGGGATGGGCTAGGGAGACCATTCAACTTCAAGCTGAGTAACACTCTAGTTGGACACTTGACTTTTTGGATTTGGTGAAGACTAGGACATTTGATTCTCAAAAGGACACTAGGATGTAATTTTATCAATATAATTTTTAATTTAATTTAAAAATAGTTCAAAGGTTATAGTACAAGGATATTTCACGAGAAAATAACATAATATTGTACATGATATTTTAGCTTGTAATGTTGCAGGATCTATTTGAACATGTGGTTGCTTGCCAATTGATTTCACATATTAAGAAAAAAAGTTGAATTAGTGTTGCACATTGCCTGTTGGTTATTATCTCAAAGGAACACCTAATTTGAAGACTTTACAGATAAAATATTCTGTAAAATTTGACAAAAAAAAAGAATGTAAGTCTCTCTTGTTCAAGTTAAAATAATGTATTTATCATTTTGATAACGATATATTTATGTAACTGATATTTTGCTTATATATCGAACAACTTAGTTATTGTTTAGCATTTGGCTTCGGAAAATTAGCTTTTGAACACAAAAATAATGCTAAATACATTATAGTTAAAAGTTTTTTTAATAATTAAAAATAAGCCAACCGAAAAACTTATTGAAAATTACAGTTGTAATTTGAAATTTATGATTTAGAGATAAAATGACCAAATACTAATTCCATTATTTATTTTTGAAAAAAATAACATATTTTTTTGTTTCCAATATCATGTCCTCTTTAAATATTTTAATTTTTTACAGCAAATTTTCATATCAATGTCCAACACTTAAAAATCTTAAATTATAATTTTTCACAGCAATATTTTTACAGTACTTTTCAAACACATTTTTTCAAATTGAATTTTTTCCATTGCTAACAGAAATGTTAAACGAGGCCTTAATTACCCCACAGAGTAAATTCCACATAATCATCTACAACATCATCTTGATAGTACCCTTTTTGTATAGCTGGTGGTGTTAGTATCAACCCTTCTGCCATACTGTCAAGTATCCCTGGCATGTTAAACACCTCTTCTTCATCCATAAACAACATCTTCGAACTCCCTTCAACATTACCCAAGTTCTCCAAGCATGGCAATGGCGGCAGAGACGACAACAATGAAGGCGAAGCTGATGACGTTTTGATATCACCAAACGCCTCCGCAGCCTCCATAGCAGCACATTGAATATCCCTTATGGAGGATGACCTAGCACGTGGTAATGTATATGCAGACTCGGGAAAGTTTAAGGAAGCAGAATCTCCCTTGAGAGCCAAGGCCGCTGCATCATAAGCCCTAGCAGCCATGCCTGGGCTCAAGAATGTCCCCAGCCAGATTCGGGACTGCTTGTTAGGCTCTCGCAGCTCGCTAACCCACTTGCCATTCCTCCTCCTAACGCCTTTGTATACGGGGTGTCGAGTCTCTTGAAACTTCTTCCTTCCAGCTTTTCGCTTCTGGGATTGTGCTTCAACTTGCCCTGATGAACTGCCTAGTTCAGGCCGCGATGACGAACATGGACTTTCGTGGCTTTTTGAGCTTAAAACCGATTGCTGGTCTTCCCTCTGTCTCATTGATGGAGAAAAGAGAGAGAGAGAGAGAGAGAGAGAGACAGAGTTAAAAACTAGCTAGAGAGGGAATGTGCTTTATAATAATGAACAAGAACGACGACTAACTGATAAAATAAGGGAAGTAAAGAATGATTAAATAGGAGAAAGGAAATGCATGAAAATCGTGTTTCATTGTCGATTTTATTATTTCTTTTTAACACTCTCCAGGTTGGTACTGGGGAGAATCCAAATATGATTCATGTGGGGGAAAAATATTCCATAGTCTATTTCTCTGGACAAAGATAGTTTTTTTTTTGCGACAACATCCACATGCTTTTTCTACTTGCGTTTACCATATCAAGAAACCCTGGAACACTTCTAAATTATTAATGCTAATGCTAATTTTATGAATCTTACAAAGTACTTGCGAAAATTAACCCCCAACGTACAAGAGCGATTATTCGTTTTACACTATACAGATCTGGGATTTGGACATTTTTATAAGATCATCGTGCAAGCAACAAAGCAAATCATCTTTAAAGAAAATGACGCAATTGAACTTCAAATTCATTTTTTTTAACCATGTTTGCTAAAAAAATGTGCAAAATTTTGTTTTTTATATGCAAAAAGAGAAATTTTCTTTTTTTTCTTTTTCTCATCCAAAGGTTAGATTTTTTAAAAAATCAGTCATAAAAGATACGAGTCCCATAAACAAAGTTTACAACAGCAAAACCTAAAAGAGGTTAGCAGCCAAAAATAAAACAAAAATACAGATTTCACCACCTCTAGAACCAAGCAACAAAAAAATCATTACGATCCATCCCCATTTTTGCCAATGAGTCAGCAAAACTATTCGCCTCTCTGTAAGAATGAGAAAAAGTTACATTCCCTATTTCTTATCATAGTTTGTCAATTTCATTGAAGATAGCCCAGTCTTCCCACGGCCTTATTATATCTCTGAATGACACACCCACGCAATGGCATTCTTTGAATCTGTTTCAACAATAAGCTCATGATTTCTGGTAAAAGGAGACATTGAAAATGTGTTTAAAGCAGTATTGATAGCCAAAACCTCAGCCAAGCAGTCCATAAAAGAGACCAAGAACAACACCTGCATTATTTCTCAGAACTCCGCCATATCCAGCTCTCTTGATGATCCATCTACGTTAAATTTCAGAATTACATTCCCAACAGGATTAATCCGAGTTATTCCCATGCGAGGTTTAAACAGACCCTGAATGGCTTTCACCCAACTCATGGCCCTTAATTTCATAAGATCAAGGATTTCAGCCAAAATGTAGCCCCACAAACTGATAGCCATCTGTCCTTCATGACTCTACCAAACGGAACGCATTCACATTGGAATATAAAGTTGTTAACTGGAATGACCCAAACCAAGCCCCACCATTTAAAGACAGAGCACCAAGCATTAAATATATAATTATTTGACATAGGAAAATCAAGAAGTGCTCGACAAACAATGGAAAGTTTAATGAATAGTAATTAACCATTTGTAGATTTCAAAAGGAAAAGAAGAAAAAATTGCTAACTGAAAGAAAAAACATTCAGAAAGTGATTAAAATATGGATAAATTACAGAAAACTTATGTTGTGAATGCGATTGAGAGCAAATAAATGTCTTTTAAAATTGCCCTTAACTCCTTTGAGAATCTTTTTTCTTAATTTTGAAACTAAAATCATATATTTATTTATTGTCAAAATTTTCTCATAATAAAAGAAAAAAAAAAAAAAGGAAAACACAGTTTATGAGTCTTAACTTTTCCGGCATAAAATGAAGCTGATAGTTCCATATCTCGGTCAGGGACAAAACTTTTGACCTACATATATTTGTGTAATGTAATGGGAAAAAAAAAGACAAAAACAGGTTTTGACCGTTGTCTTATTGTCCTTTGCAGTTTCACGTGGCTCTAAAAAATGGCTTCTCGCGAGGCATATGCAGTTGCAAACCCGTATGAAAATTGTCGAGTTTGGTTTCGGTAGTGGGCAAGGCAAAGTCTAGTTAGGTTACTGATAAAAGGACAGATCCTCCAGAAGTTGTCTCTAATTTAGAACCACATGAACTACTAAAGCATGAAAAGTGTCGTTATAACAAGAAGATAAGCGAATCTAATGCAAAAGATTTGTTGATAAGTATCCCCCATGAAAAACGACGTCTACGTGTGGCACTGAAAAGCATTGAGAAATATAACTACTATTTAATCTCATTTTTTAATAATTGTGAAGAAATTTCAAATCTAGAATTTTGTTTAAAAAGGTGACACACTCGTATAGACATCCCATTTTAGGGATCATTTTAAAATGGTCACATTAAAATATTAATTTTTTTAATTTAATTATTTAAATTTAAATAATAAGCATTTATTTTGATCACTGAATTGTTAATAATTAATAGCATGTTGATGTGATAATGCTATTATTATCGTGATAACGCATCACTTGATAGGTCACATAATACTATTGATGTACCATAATAAAATTTTAAAAAAATAAATAAATTTCAATCATTTAACTTTTTAATAATTTTTATTTTAGTCATTCAAATTTAAAAATTTATAATTTGTAACTAATAAATAAGTTTTAAAAATTAAAAAAACTTTTAATAAGTATTTGACATTTTTATTACATAGAATTACTTTATTAATTTTTTATTTTATTATAATTATACAATTTAAATTTAAATTTTTTATTTTATTAGTTGCAAAATTATTCAAATAATGTTGTTTTAAATTTTTATTATTCAACTCATCCAAATAAACTTAAGTAAATATTTCATATTTCATAATATGAAGGTTTAGTTTTAATTTCATGTAATAAAAATATTAAAATATATATATAACAAAATAAAATAAAATAAATTATTTATTATATTAAATTTTACAAACCGTTGGTGATTAAATCATTATAAAATTGCATTGAGGGTGACATCCAAATATTAATAATTTCACAAACATTTGTGATAAAATTGTAAGAATTTAAAATAGTTACTAGAATTTATTTAGATTAATTGAATGCCAAATACTTAAAGTAAATATTTTAGTAATTTTGACAATTAATTATTATGCATCTATTTTTCAAATTTAAATAGTAACATTGTAATAAAATAAAAGTTTTAATTTCATGCAATAAAAATATTAAATGTTTATTTCTATTTTTTTATAAAAATTCAATGACTTATTTGAGCATTATCACAATATAATTCAATAGGTAATATAAATAATAAAATAATTTATTATAATGAATTTCATAAACATTGATAATCAAATTATTATAAATTCACACTAACAATAAACCATTAACAATAACAATCAAAATATTAATAAATTTTACAAAAGTTAGTGATCAAAATATTAATAAATTTTATATTTCATAATGTCAAGATTGTAGTTACAACAAATTTATCTTATCTATATTTCCTTTAATATTTTATTGTATGAAATTAAAATTATGAACTTTCATTGCAGAAATTTTGACATTATGAAATATGAAATACATACTTGAATTTATTTAAATGGGTTGAATCACAAAGATTTAGAGTAATTCTATTTTAGTAAAATTGGCAAATGAATAATATTCATCCATTTTTTCAAATTTAAATTGTACAATTATAATAAATAAAATAAATTATAATTTAATTCTATGCCACAAAAAATATAAAATGCTTATTTTTATTTTTTTAAAATTTGAGGACCTATTTGTTAGTGACCAAATTATAAAATTTTCAAAGTTGAGTGACTAGAATAGAAATTTGTAAAGAATTAAATTATCAAAATGTAATTTATTTTTATTTTTAATTCCCAAAATTCAAGATGCCATGTCAATGATACTATGTAGCTTGTTAGATGAAGTGGCAGTGCCACGAAGCACTTGACATCTGACGAGTGCCACATCATCACAGAGACTAATGACTTTATGACCAAAATAAATGTCTACTCAAATTTATGTAATTAAAATGAAAAAATTAATACTATAGTTATCATTTTAAAATTATGATAAAATTGAGTGACTATTTGTGTATTTTATTCACTTTTAAATATAAATGAGTCGTTTCAATCTATTAATTATTATCAATTAAATGTTTTTTTTCCTAAAATTATGACTCAAATAGGTTTAGATAGATTTTTTTATTGGTCCGAAGAATTTGTTTGATGATCAAGTTTATTTGCTTTGTATAAAATACATGTTAAACAAAAATTTAAAGAGAAAAAATATTCTTGATAGATAAACTAGTGAATTTAGATATGAGAGAAAAATATAAGTAAATTGTAACGCTTATAGATTTGAGTGTGTGAGTGTTCATTTGATGTGAATATTTGGTGCTTGTGAGTTTGTGTTTGATTATGAATTTGTGAGAATGCATTTGGAGATATGTTTGATACATAAAATTATAATATAATAAAATACGATAATATTATAAATAGAATTAGATTAAATAATTTTTTCTTATCTTATATTTGATGTATTTAAGGATTTGAATAAGATAATTTATATATTGGTCAAAATTATTTTTCCTTAAAATTTATATAATTTATATAATTTAAATTAAATTATATTTATTTTTAAGGGTATAATAGGTATATAAATTTAATCTTATGGATTAAAAATAATCATTTTTACTTTGAGTGCATTGAATGATCTTATACTAAGAGAATGATTAATTCTCGTAATCTTATTCATTTTTTTAGATACAAATCAAATATAATATAAGATAATTATCCTCATATCTTATCAATCAACTTATACATCAAATATGACCTAGGAATGTTTGGATGTATTGAGATCAAACTAGTGCTCAAGTAATTTTCAAATTTGCTGAGAAAATTGAATGACTCATCTCCGACGGAACCATGAACTTAGACAGGTTCGTAACAGGAAAAGTTGCTTGTTAAACATACACAACATCAATAGCACGAGTATAATGCCTTTGGGTTTACTTTTACCAAAAACGCTTATAAATTGAATAGAGACATAATTCAAAAATCCAAACAACTTACAAATTCATTGAAT